CGGATAACATATATAGTAGACCTAGTCAGCCTATACTCTAGAGCAGTGGTCTCTTAACATTTTGGCTTGTGTACTCCTATCATTAAAAAAAAAATCTGAACATGTGCCTCCAATATATGTATATTTACTTATGAATTATATCTATGTTTCATTGTACTAAAATGTACATTATAAAACATACATACAAAGTAGATATTTTAAATTGATGAGCCCAAAAACAAATATAGAAGTACTAGCATTTTCTCTCCATATTCAGTGGAATGTGGAGACTACTGCTATAGAAATCAGTTAATTTATTCATACCCTTCTTGAACCCCCAGGCTAGTTATGTTCCCATCTCTGGGAAAGAGGTGAAGTAGATATTCTCTAGGATCCATCCCATCTAAAATTCTATGATTTTGTGATCTGTTGGCAGCATCTCTTTTGCAAAAATCAGTCAGGTTGTGAGGTGGTGAGCATTCTCTGTGCAGGGGGAATAACACAATCCCTACCCTTCAAGGGTTCCTACCATAAGGGGTAAGGCAAGGGATATTCTTTAGGCATTCCTTAGGGAGAAGCCTCCTGCCAGTAATGCTTATCAGTTCACCCCCTCAGTTGATCAGAGATTATAGATATAACTATCTACTGAGTTAGGTGCTATTATAAGAAAACTAAAGCCCAGAGAGATCAACTAACTTGCTAGATCACACAACTAAGAAGTGCAGATTTAGGTTTTAATCCTAGACAATTTGACATGAGGCACATGCATTAAATTTTTAATGGCCATGCTATACCACTTTCTTGTATAGTACAACTTAATGAAATATAAACTAAGGACCGAAATATTAACAAATGGTAACTGGATCAGAGTTGTAACAAGGCTTCTTAGAAAAGGTAAATTATAGGCTAAGTTTTTTATTTTAACTTTTTATTATAGAAAATTTCAAACATAAAGTAGAGAACCTTCACCCAGCTTTAACAATTATGACATTTTAAGGCTAAGTTTTGAAGGGGATATGGAGATGTGTATTGGCAGGGAGGGCATTGCAGGAAAAGTCAATGGTCTTTGGGGAGCCTTGATAGTGGGAAGAAACAAGCCTGGTACAGAGGGCAGTAAGAAGATGATCATTTTGGCTAGTGGGTGTATTTTCAGGAAAAGGGATTCTTTATGGTTTCCTCACGAGGATGTGGGTAAGGGAACCCAGAGTGGCTGAAGTAAGAGGTAACTTGGTTCTCACTCTCTCTCTTCCCCAACCCAGGTTCCCTAGGCACCGCAGGCCGAGTCTGTAGCAAGACATCTAAAGGGACAGACGGTTGTGAAATCATGTGCTGCGGTCGAGGGTATGACACAACTCGAGTTACCCGTGTCACCCAGTGTGAGTGCAAATTCCACTGGTGCTGTGCTGTGCGGTGCAAGGAGTGCAGAAACACTGTGGATGTCCATACTTGCAAGGCCCCCAAGAAGGCAGAGTGGCTGGATCAGACCTGAACATATAAATACCTCACTCATCCCTCCACTTCAAACCTCCTGACTCAAAAGCACAAGACCTTTGCATGCACACCTTCCTCCATCCTCAACTCTGGGCTGCTACAGCTTCTATTTAAGGACTTGTAAAGTACTCCAGAGGGACTCTGGTGTCCTAGCTGGTTCCTTAGCCCTGGGAAGGAGTTGACAGGGGATGTAAAAAACTGAGCGGCTCCCTGACTCCCCACTCTGGAGGTTAGAAGGCAGAGTGGAAGAGGTAGGAGTCTTCAGAGCGATATGAGTTGCACTAAAGCACATGGTCAAGGTTCATTTTTCCTTTCCCTTGCATTGGCTTCCTGACACATCTTGTGTGTGCAAGAGAAAGGATACCTGGAGAGAACTTCTTTTTCTCCTACCTGGCTGAGGGTAGATGGGACAGAGATGAAACCACGTATCTCTTCCCTGGGTCAGTGTGAGCTAACTGCCTGGTACCCCAAAAGAAACTCATAGGCTGAAACATTCTTCCATTATCAAGAGCCTGGGATTGCTAGATAAGAGTTAGCCATAGCGGACAAGTTCCATTCTCATGCTATTATGTTTATAAACTGCTGTGTTTTGTAGGAGAAAAGAATTATATAACTATACAAACATACATTCTCTTCTAATCTCTCCTTTTCAACCTGTATCAGCCAGCACTGCCTCTTTTGCTCACTTGCTGACTGTACAAACTGAGTGGCATGCAGTGTCATGCCATGCCTAACAGATAATTAGAATACCGTAGAACACTCCTAAGAAAGAATAATTTAGTAGGTCTGCCTAGGCCTTGGGATTTTTACTTTTTTAAACTTTCCACACATCATTCTGGTGGGCAGCCAGGTTTGGGAAACACCAAGTAAAAGATATGTGACTCACCGAGCATGGGAGAGGGTAATAAGCCTGATCTCAAAGGCCCACATGAGGCATTAGTGTATACTAGGCAGGTAGAGATCTCTGGCTTTGGCAATTTTTAGGAGAGGATCCTAGCCTTTAAAGCTGGGAGCAGGAACCAGTGGTTACAGAAGGAAGGCGAGCTGGGTCTTGGGGCCAAGGTGGTGAACAGCTTAGAAAACAACCTTTCCTCATTTATTCAACAAATCTTTATTTAGTGACTCTCCAAGTCCTGGTGATTATTATCCTTCAATCCACATTTGGCTTAAATTGGGGAGTTCCTTCTGTGCTACTACTCACTGCCTAACTAAGCTTGTAGTGGTAGAGTCTCCAGAGATAGCAGGCTTAGTAAGCTAAAGGGCAGGACACAGAGTCCCCAAAATCATGATCTCCTATTTTTATATGACTTGGACAGTGGTTATCTCTTGCCTGTTGATATTTTAAAGGAGAAGAGTGGTATAGAAATTTGCAGTTATGACAGACCTGGGTTGAAATCTCAGCTGTGCCAGTTACTGTTTTTGATATTTTGAGAAAGATACCCAAATTCTCTGAGCCTCTATCTTCTCACCTCTAAAATGAGCGTACAAACTTATATCAGATATTGAGTTTTAATTACGCCTCAAACTCCAACCAATAGACCCTCTTACCAAAGCCTGTAACTGGTCTAGCCCATCCTGACTTCTCACAGAATCTTCAGTTCAGGACTATAAGGTATTGACAGCAGGCTGTATATTAAGGAGCCTACCCAAGGAGTTCTGAATATAGGCCACTTTCCTTTCCCCGAGTTCCTCTCCAGCACCCCTTGGGGTCCTCACATGTTTGTGGAGCAGCTTTACTCCGCACAGGCAGCAAGAGGATGGGGGTGCTATAGCTCTGGGCCGTGGGGGCAGATTTATTTGGATGATAGGACTAATATTTGTGTAACCTGCTGAGACCTATGTGGGAGAGTTTAGGGTGGTTTTTCTTTTGGTGAGGGGGTTTGCTCCAGTTTCACATCCATTAACACAAAACATGAACTAGTCAGGGCCCTTGTGGTCTGTGGTGAGGGGATTCCTGTGGAGAAATAGGACTGAGTGAGTCAGGCCAGGGGAATGTCTTCCTTGCAGAGTGGAGTCAACTGGATAACTGATGAGCCAATGGTGGGATTAGGGAGGGGGGAAATGGGAGGGGAAAAGAAGAGTTTCTGACATCTTGAGCTAGGATTAAGAGGAGGAAAGCTCTAAGGTAGTGGAAGGGTAAGGGGCTCACAGTCAGTCTGAACTCAAGAATAGAGTTGAATGAATTACAAAAGGATGCTGTCTTGTATCCTGGGCCACTGGGAAGAGCTCTCAGGTCCCAGTTAGCTTCAGCTCTTACAAGGTTATCCAGGTTACCACATAAATGATAGCCTAGGCCTTCCATGGGAAATCAACCTGAGCTAAATCTACCTGTGTTCTATTATCTTATTCTTTCTTGGTTCTTACTCTGTGGAAGGAATCGGGCCTCTTCTGGCATCTCATACTGCTCTGTGCTTTTCCCTGGGCTCCAAGTTCTAGTTCATAAAGACCAAGTTTTGCAATTTCCTATAAATGGTTAAGAGAACAGCAAGCTGTCCAGAGAGTGAGAGGTCTGAAAAGTGAGGTGGATAGTGAGAGAAAAGAGGTCCATGTAAGCCCCATTACAGAGGCTGTGTGGCTCCCAAAAAGAATAATGGCCAAGCAATTAATTTTTCCTCTTATTCCTTAGCTTGCCTCTGCATTCCGACTGGCTTTACACAACTGGCATCCATTCTGCACTATACAAACAGAAACTAATTTATCTGGAACAAGCAGCAAAATGAGAACTTTATTTGGTGCAGTCAGGACCCCATTTAGTTCTGCTGCTACTCACTCACTGCCTCTAGTCTTCCCCTTGCACATCTTTCCTCTGTTCAATAGAGGCCTGTCCCTCAGATCAGCAGTCTCTTAGCCTGCCACCTCTGTTTCACTCCTTCCTGTTGGTCTTCATTTCTTTTAGCTTTTAATATTTATGTATAATGCATTGCAGAAAATGCTGTTTGGATACAAATTAAGTTAAAAGACATTATCCTTTAAGGATCTTAGAATCTTTTAGAGAGGGCACAAGACTTAAATACCTCAGCTGCACAGCCTATAGCCAATTCCTCTTATGTAAAAGTAAGAATGCCAGCCTTAACATAGTCCTGCAGATAAAAGCCAACTTGTATTATTGCTGGCCTTGAATAATAGCATGAATCCATACTCTTCCTTAGAGTGATACTAGAAAAATGAAATCAGGGACTTCAGATTATTTAAAAGAATCAAACATTGCCTGGCCCTGAGGGTCTGTCTGCAAAGTCTTGTAGGTCTGACTCCTTGACCACTCACTGCCTCAGTCTTCTTCCTCCCTGTTACAGAGAGTAATTTCTTCCCTTTCTCTCACCTCCCTTAGCAAGCACACCAACCACTAAGTCCTTCGCCAAATTCTCAGACCCACTCAGGACCTTGATTTCTCCATGGCTTAATATAAGAAAGATAACAAGGATTTTTTTCCCCTCAGCCTTTCTGAGGTTTTATTTAAATGCCCTCAGTGGTCACAGGGCAGAAACCCAAGGGAGGAAGGCAGGGAGAGTATGTTTCTCATCCCTGGGAGGCCTAGATGCAGCCTGCAGCCAAATTACAAAACCAGAGAACAATGTAATGCATTCCTGGGCAGGTCGGTGGGACCCTGGGCGCCTGGGCCTTGTGGAGAGAGGTGCCAGACACAGAGCTCTCCGTAAGCAATCCTGCAGAGCCGCCCCCTGGTTCAGAAATGAAATACGGGAGAGCTTCACATTATGCAGAGACCTGTAGCTCACACCTGGTTATTGATGGCCTTGGTGGAGGCCTCTGCCCCCACCCTCCACTTGGGAACTGCCTGCTACTATGGGGGTTGGGCATCTTTGAAGCAATGTTGGAAAACAAGAAAGAGATGTTTCCTTTTCACTCTGCCCTTCCTATCAGCCTGTACATAACCGTGAGGATATATATACACAAATATCTCAGGCTGCATATGGGTTCTAGTCATCCTCCTTCTCCCCAACAAAAAAAAGAAAAAAGCAACTAGATTTCAATCAAACACTTCAAAACTCATACCAGTAACAGGGGTTCAGCTATAACCAAGGAATATTATAAAATTATCAACATGCAAGCAGCTGTTGGTTTGGGGACTGGCACCCCTCTGGGAGGTGGCAGGAGAAGGACACAGAAAGGGCATGGAGAGAAGAGATCAACAGTGGACAATTCCCACCCAGGCAGAGTGGCTGAGACTGTAGAACTTCTCATGGCTGGTTCACGCTGGAAAGAGTGCAATTCGTGTCCTACATGCTATGAATGATAGGGCAGTCTCCTGTGACTGCACGAGGTACGATTATCAGGCCTCCTGCTCATGACCTGTTGTTGTTTTTAACTCTTACTAGGTTAGAAAACAGGATAGCTTTAGGTTGCAGAGATGATCTCCACAAGAGAAAGGCACTAGAGGGGAGCAAGCAGTGGCTTTACTAGGGTAAATATGTCACAGTTGCTGCACTAGACTGAGCTTTCCCAGAAGCTGGTGATTGGCAGGTTTCAAGTAACGGCCAGTGAGGTGTCAGTAATATACCTGTCCCTGACCCCAAAGGTCAAAGTGATAAAAGAGAGGGTATAGGTACGTTTTTCCACTTCCCATTTATGGCTTAAATGATCTCTGAGCATCTCTGTGGTCCTTCCTCATTTACTTAAGATGTTTTAGTCATCCTGGATTTGAGAAAGCAAGGTAAGCATTCTCCCTTTTGTCCCCTAACTCTGAACTGTTCTGGCTTAAAATTTGCCTTTGCTCACTTCCATTCTGCCTACGAGTCTATGGATAGAGCAGCTGGGCATGGGAGTTCTCTCTCTTTGGCCAAAAGAAGCCAAAATTGGATGACTACTTAACACCATCAACCCCAGTAAGCAGACTTGACCAAACAGAAAAGCTAAGCTGAGTGAATTAAAAAGATAGTTTAATCCACAGCTGTTCTATTTGACAACTTTCAAGGTGGGGCTTCCCCAAGAATAACTGTGATATTTATAAAAAGGTTTTTCATGTATAAACACTTTAGCTTATATGTAATTGTCTCACCAACCCTGTGATAGGAATTACGCTCATTGTACAGGTGCCGTTCAGAGAGGCTCTGTGATTTGTCCAAAGTCCTGTGGATACTGAGTGGCTCAGCCAGAACTCAAACCAAGGGCTTCTGACTTCAAATCCTGTGTGTTCTCCTCAAAGACTGAGGGTGCCTAGGGCTGGAGGCACAAGAATCCCAGCACCTTTAGGACAGAAATTGATACAAAATATCCTAGGAGAGTATACATGAGCAGAATTTACAAAAGGAACAGCTTAGGCCTTCCTTAACCTCATCGATGAACCCCCTTTTTGCCATTTCTGCCACTAATACCACCACCACCAAATGATCACTATACTACATTTAGTGGTCCATGTTTAATCAGCTCTGGTTCCTAATTCTTTCTATTCCTTTTTTCTTTTTCAGATTAACAGTTAAATTTTTGTTTTAGTTTTATCTAGTCCTTTTAAAGGGATGCTAAATGTGTAGACAGAGCAGAAGTAGTCATGAGAAGCCATGAGAGGAAGTTATTAAAGCTTTGGGCTTTTAAAGTATGTATTAGAATTTCCTTTGAGAGTTCAATCTTTTTAAAAATGCTCTCAACTCCTGGTCTAGGAAAGTAAGAACAGGGAATGAGAGTGCTTAAAAAAAAACTGTCCTATCCCAGGCCAGATGCCTACTCACAGCCCAGTAAAAGTCCTGGGACCTCTAGCCAAGACAAGCTATTTATCTACACCAAAGCAAGGAGTATCTACCCTGCAGAGAAACCCGTGCAAGATGAGGCAGACAGCAGATTTTCACTTGATCAAAAACTTTTGCTGCTCTCAACCCCTCCTCCTACCCTCATTCAAAATCTGGACTTCTGTTTAGGTCTGAGACAGTGAGACAAAGCAGCTCCAAGAGATGATGTGTGTAAGGGGAACCCTTCCCTGTTCAACCCTGGAATGCATTCCGTTAGAGACAGCATAAGCCCTCACATATCCTACCTATCCCACTCCTGAACCCCAACTGTGAAGGCAGAAAGGAAAACTGCAGGAACACCATGTTCATCAATCATAGATCTGGGATGCTACAGCTCCCTGACCTGGGCCCCCACTTGAGCTAGGGGAAGAACACCTCATGAAAACAGTCTACCTATAGTTAGGATTTCTCCCAGAGCAAACCTTACTTTTTGGTCCATCGATCTTGGCTCTCACTGTTCTCCTTGCTTCCCACCCCCACTGCCTCCGCATGTGGGCTCAGAAGTCATCATCTAAAGAATTCCACTGCTCACCTCCTGCATAGCAGCACAGCCCCATGAGGCCGCACACCAGATGGAGGGGATAAAAGTACGAGGTCATGGCTTCTAGCAAGAGGCTTTTTCTTAAACTAACCCTGACTCCTGGAAAAGAGGCAGTGCAGGAGAGTGTCGAGTGAGCTGCTGACGACAGCAGCTTCAGAGGTCTTGTATAAAAAGCTAACTGAGCTTTCAGTGGAAATTTCTCTACTCCTGGTCTCATGTCTACTTCTTGAAGGTGTCTGAACAGAATGCAGAGACTGTCAAACCAAAGGGTTAAATCCTGCCCAATTGTAGGGACCTATTCAGCAGGCTGCCATACACATGCTAAGGTGGAGGCCAAACCCTGAACACATACCCCGTTTCTCCAGGAATGTAACTATGAATAAAGGGAAAGGGTATGGAAGGTGGACTAGAACTCAGGGGAAATTGAAAAGGTTGTCAGTAGGCCTTCAAAATGTTTGTGTATAATACACAGACGGGGATGCAGAAGGATCATCATTCCTAGAACTGTTATGTTTGCTGGGTGACAATGTACAGAAGCAATAATTACAAAGAGACATAACAGTTTAACACTGAGAAACAGAAGTCTCAGAATAAAGGAATCAGGTGAATGAGATTAATCAGGCTTTCTATAGGAGGTGGCTTTTGAGCTGGATTTTTAAAATATAAGGAATGTCCTGGTTGAGAGAAGAGAGAGGAAGGCATTCTAAATAGAAGGAACTGGTTTATGCTGAAACTTAGAAGCAAGAATGTGAAAGCAATATATAAGGAATTTCAAGCAAGTACATATTATATACACTGGAGAATACAGAGAAATTAGAATGCTGAGATCAGGGCTTAAATAATGTGAGGTGACTGCATGTGCCCAGACTGTCAAATGGCTCAGAGTCCCCTACAGAGCCACACAGCATCTTGATCTATGTCAGTAAACACCAGGGCACCTATGGGAAAACACAAGGATGAGTCCATTTGTTACAGATACTGGGACTAGAAGACAGCTACACTGTAAAACCCACAAAATGCTAAGTATCATTAATCACAGTTCCCTATCATTTGAGATTCTGGGGTAAATAAGAGATATCAAATATCCTATCCAGAACTGTGATGCATTAATGTAGGTTTACGGGCCTAGAACCTGACACAAATCAAGCCAAACTCTTAAGAAATTAGAATGTAAAAAAGGAATTCTTTAAAATAGAAAATACATGTTTCTTTCCCTGACTCTCAAACTTAAAACTTGACTGGTCCCCTATATCCCGTTTGGCATACTGGACTTTTGAGGCTAGCACATTCACCATAGCTGCGGCCATACTGAATAGGAAGAGAGCTATGAAAGAGCTTTAGGGACTGCAAAATCAGTTTACTAATAAGTGAGAGGATAGTTCTGGTGTACTACAGGGTGCTAGAGCAACAGCCAAAGACAAGATACAAATTCCGATTTCATAAACTTCGAATTAGGTCTCTGGCTTCTTGCACTTGTTGGAGGTAAAAACAGAGCTATTTATCGGGCTTCTGCCAAGTTTCCTAACTGAACTTTCCTAACCTCTGATGACAAAAACTGCAAGGGCAACCCTGTTCTTCCACAGCATTTGCCTGGTGCCACTTTCAAAAACAGAATATTGAAATGTATGTGTGTGTGTGTATATATACATATATGCATTTATACATATATATGTATATATATAAATTATATTTATGAACATTGAATAAGCCAAAAGGTGAGCAGTATCTTAAATTTTTGCTTTACTTAACTGGCACAATTTAGTTAGTGCTGGAAGGGAGGCAACCATTTAAGTGATAGCATTTGTTGGTATCATCTTGGTATTTTCCTCCTCCCCTAGGCAGTTTATAAAAGGTGATTTCTGAAACCCTTCACAATGGAAAAGCTCAAGGGTTTACATTCAACTGTGACACCACTATGAATTCATTAAGAAGCATGTTTCAGGTTGCACTATAATTTCCCTATGTAACATAAACCCATGGAATCTGACATAAGCTGATTGCTCATGCTGGTTATTTTATTTACATTTCTGAATGGAAGGGACCTCAATACTCATAAAATATCTTACTAACTTATTATTTTTCATCTGTTCTCCCAGAGCAGCTATTATAAAACAGGCATAGAGACATAAGTCTCAACTTGTATGACTGGTTAAGCAACCAGGGAAAAGTTACTGCTCCAAAGCAATTTTTTAGAAAATAATTCAATATGGAGCTTGAGACCAAATGAGATATCATTACTCTAAATGCCATGTGAAAGATAAAAGTTAAAAAAACAGTGTTCATTATCTTCGTTGAAGTCCTATGGGAGTAGGAGGTAGTTCACAGGAACTTAGGGGGTCTGGAGTTTACCTAAGTCTTTCTTTAGAGACCTAATGTTAGCAGACACAGCCTAGTATAAACGGGAACACAGGTGAACGGATGAGAGTGGGCTCCTCACAACCCAGAAATATGAATGCGCCTCCTCACCAGCATGCTACTAATCAGACTTCTGAAATGGAAGATACCATCATGCATCTAATTCATTATTTGGAGATGTATGTTTTGTTCATCTATCCAAAGAATAATAATTTCCACTTATTCCAGAAGATATAGCAAGCTCAGATAAATTGCTAAAGAAGTAACAATTACCAGTTAACTCCAGAGCCTGATCTGTGGTCTTCTGCCTGTAAGTCTGTGTTCAAATCATCCCACTTTCTTTCTTCTGCTGCCACACTGAGTTAAATCAGTATATTCTTCGACCCTCTAGCCTTGGGCCTACTCTTCTACTCAATATACTTTCATCATTTTACCATATCTAATGATTACATGCCTAACAGGATAAATTCCCCAAGGACAGGTTCTGTACCTATTTTAAAAAATATTTTAATATGTATTTCAAGGTCATATCCCCAATGATCCAGTCAGTACATATACTTGACTGAGCCCAATAAAGATAGGAAATCTTTTTCAGTTGTTTAGAGAGAAAATCTTGGCAGTTCCCCCTGTAAAAATGTAGAATTATCCAGGATTCAGAATTGATCAGCAAAATTCAGCTTAGAAGAGAGGGAAAAGGCAGCTTATTTTAGTACCTTAATCCAATATACTTTTATTATTTTCCTTAATTAACCTGATATATTTTCAGAATCAGTCACTGCAGGGTACAGCTTTGACATGAACAGTGGGCTCTGGGAAATTCTGAGTGGTTCTTTCCCTTTCTTTCTCACATGTCCACAGAGGTACATGAGCACCTAACTCTTTAGTACCTAACTCTTTAGTCCTAACTCTTTGCTGTCCCATTCTGCTTCTGACATCACACTTTCATTTTCTAAACCAGGATGGTCCTTAGCCCTTATTAATCTGTCATTATTAGGAATGAGAGGATATAAAAGACAAAGATAAAAATGAATGAGTATAGTAGGCTTTAGTCTTAGGGCAGCTACTATATGAATCTGAGGGGTGACACTTCTTATTTCAATCTTGAGTTGTGGAGCACTTCATTTTTTAATAAATTCTAAACTATTCAGATGAACATAATGAATACTGCTGTTTACAAAAACACGAACTTCATCACTTATGTGTAAAGATGAAAGTCTTTCATGTCTGATATCTGAAAAAGAATAAAATAAAGAGACCTCCTTCTATTTCCTCTTGTTTGACTGAAAGGAAAAAGCCTCTATCAGTCTAGATTGACTTTTTTGGGTCACTAAATCTTATGTGAGGCATGTGAAAATAACTCCTCAGTCACTTCTAGTCAAATGAATAAATCTCCAAGGATGAACTAATCTACTGTTATGGCAGTAGCCTCTGTCTTACACTAATACATGTCTTGCCTACCTTAAACCCCTTACCACTAGACTATGAGTTATTTGTGAACAGGGATTGCATTTTATATTTCATAAAGGTGCCCAATAAATATCTGCTCCTTGAATGAATGAATGATGAAC